CGAAAGAAAAAAAAACGTCTGCGCTCCACTGAAAGCTGCCTCCGGTCGCGTATCGCAACGCACGTGGCAGCCGCTTTTTCTCCATAGTTTATTGTCTTCGTTTCTTTATTTCGCCACACCCCCCTTTTTAATGGTACCATCCAACCATCGCTTAATGTCCATCGTAATCACCAATAGTCCGTTCAAACGCCCGTCGTGTGTGAGAAGCCTTCGATAATTCGTTCAAATTACATTTGAGGGAACTCAAAGCGCCGCGCGTCAGGCGGCAATCACGTGGTATTTTTAGTATTTTGTGCACCCTAAACAAACCCTGGAAAAAATTAGCAAGCGTTGTTAGCTTATCGTAACTTGAAAATTTTGTTATTTCTGGATAAGAGCTACAAGTCTTGTATTGACTTTTTTCTAAAGTCAGTATTCAAAGAGTTCATTAGGCAATTTTTGTTAATTACCGTGTTTTGTGGATAAAAATATTCCGACGTGCTACATACAGCTAAGAACAATACTGTGATAGCTGGAGACGCGTAGTTCTCATTTTTATTTTTTACTGCTTGCTGATTTTTAGCTAAAACACCCTGTATGCTACACCCCACGATTCTGTACAGTAGCTTTATGAGAGTGACAAAATGAAAAGTACAATGTCCACAGCACACAAGAGAGAAAGCATTCGCGTGTTTTGATCAATGTATAACAACCCCAAGCCACCTTCCAGATTACGCTATGAATTTGTTCTTCCCAATGATGATGCTAATCAAAAACCACTACCAAATATTTAAGAGAAACTACTTGGTCGATAAGACTATTGTTCAGGTAAAGTTTTATTTTTGACGTGTGAGTATTGTTTCTCTTTGATCGAAAGACAACATACTTAATTTTTCTTGAATGTATTGTGAGTTTATTTTGAACAAAACAGTTGCTTACGTCTGCCGATTCAGACATTATGCTGACTTGCAGTGTTGACCTGTGATTATCATGGCTGTGTCATACCCATAGCTTAATGCTTTAGAAAACAGTAGTGTTCTAAGAAGTTCATTTATGTACAGGAAAAAAGTATCGGGCCTAACGCAGAACCCTGAGGCACGCCACACTATATTGGGATGTATGCGGATTCATTATTGCTAATCACCATTTTTGCTTGTGCGAGAAGTAGCTAGAGAAAAACTGGAGTGAACTGTTGCTGAAGCCACAACTTTCAAGATTTTGTAGGTTATGTATGGAAAATGGTGTCAAACGCAGTTTTAATATATAGGAATACTGCTACTTCAATTTTACCATTGTGAAGTGTGGTGTTTATATTCCGTGAGAGCGTTAGAGAAGCTTATGCTGTAGATTGATAGCGGGAACAATCCCGGCTGCTGTGAGCATATGAAGTCATTATCGCTCACAAAGCGTTTTTGATCGAAGGACGTACAATCAGCTTCTAGAAAAGTGTGTTGAGACAGCTTAGATAGAAACATGATTTACCGAAACTTGACCACATGTTTCGAAGAAAATGGGTCGCTATCTGACGCCCAGCATAGGCTTCGGCGTCGTTTGTCGAGAGTGACACAATTGCTTGGTGTATGTCTTCATTTTTTATTGGCCATTAAAGGGACACTTGAGGCAACTATTAGGTCGCCGTTGCTTTTTGAAATAGCGTTCCAGGAACCTCGTAGTGTTACTTTTGTGCCAAGGAACGGCCTATTTTGAAATAAAATTGTGCTTTAGTGGTCCGCATTAGGTTAGCGCATTTAAAATCATTCAACTTAACGAAACGTCTCACGTCACTGTTGCTGTACACAACGTTGCCCGGCTTTACTGCGCAGCCGCCGACACCATAGTAGCAGCATAGGGAAAGTAGCGAGAGCCACAGCAGAAACAATGGCCATTGAACAATTTTTAGCCATGGCCTTCAAGATTGCAGGATGTGCTTGGTTGAACTGGGCCCCGCTAGATGGGACGACCTGTCCAGTTTAGCCAAGCGAAATTTGAATACTTGAACCACTTGCGTCATTCCCCATAGTAACGTCCAGTGGTTCTTTTTTCCATAAATCAAACAGAAACGAATACGACGTCTCTTAATGCATGGAAGGTTCTCTTTTCAGTACAGCTAGGTCGATTTCTAGTTACTAATTGTAGGTGCTTCATCTGACGTCATCGGGATCATTTTGCAACCGTCTACCAGGGCGCATTTCTTCTCGCGTATTTTACTTAATTTCTCGATAAGTAGAGCCCTTCCATTGATAATGTCGTTTTAGACGTTGTGATACATTGATATTTCAGTCTGACGTAAATTATTTGACTGTAGTGTCCCTTTAAGAGAGAACAGACATATGCGGTATTTTCGAACTACGCCAACGCTTTTGATAAAGTTCTTCATAATAAACTATTACATAACTCTACAGAATATGAATAATAGCAAACTGATTCATGTAAATCGGGCATATCTGCAAGATAGGTACCAATATGTCCAGGTTCAGAACTTCTCAGGGACCTTTCACTTAACTTCAAGCGTACAGCCGGGGTGAGTTTGGGCCCGATTTCATTCCTCATCTTTATAAAAGATATTTTAAATGGAATACCCAATGATGTCAAGATAAAGCTTTTTGCAGATAACTGGGTCCTTAACACAATGAATAACTCTCAGGCTGATCGAACGTCATTTCAGAAAGCCCTCACCTAAGTTTCAGACTGGTGCAAGAAATGGAAAATGTTCTTAAGCACTGATAAATGTTTAGACCTCAGTATATGCAAGCAGAAAACCAGTTTGCACCACTGTTATTCTTTGCATGATATTTTACTAAAAGATATTGCGTCTGTTAATATCTCGGAATCGCCATAACAGAACGTTTAAACTGGGATATTAACATCAATACAATCTGCAACAAAACTTTTGAATCACTCTGGTTTATTCGTCGCAATCTTGCAAAAGCACCATCTAACACTAACTAGTAGCGTATAAAGCACTCGTCCAGCCATGCCGGGAGTATGCCTCCCGACTATGGGACCCTTATTGACAGAAGGATGTTTTTAGGCTTCAAAAAATTCAAAAATCCGTGATCCGATCTATCTGTAACAACTAAAAACGCATCAATAGTGTGACTGACGTGATGAATTTAATTGGCCTAGTTACATTTAAAGTGAGACGTGCCGAAAGCGGATAAAAATACTCGTACTTGATATATACATATAATCCAATTCAAGCTACCAATCATCAATATATTACGCACCACACACTACACACAAGTGCTCATTTTTATAACAGGAAACTGATACAGGAATACATCTTTTTAAACGATACATTCAAGTATTTTCCCCCGAAAACTCTTAGTGCCTGGAGTAAGCTACCGAAGGAAGTTGTCAATAGTTTCAATGTGGAAGTTGAATGCGAAGAATTTCTTAGCGTACAGGAAGCACTTTTAGAATCTATCTATCTATCTATCTATCTATCTATCTATCTATCTATCTATCTATCTATCTATCTATCTATCTATCTATCTATCTATCTATCTATCTATCTATCTATCTATCTATCTATCTATCTATCTATCTATCTATCTATCTATCTATCTATCTATCTATCTATCTATCTATCTATCTATCTATCTATCTATCTATCTATCTATCTATCTATCTATCTATCTATCTATCTATCTATCTATCTATCTATCTATCTATCTATCTATCTATCTATCTATCCTATCTATCTATCTATCTATCTGTCTGTCTGTCTGTCTGTCTGTCTGTCTGTCTGTCTGTCTGTCTGTCTGTCTGTCTGTCTGTCTGTCTATCTATCTATCTATCTATCTATCTATCTATCTATCTATCTATCTATCTATCTATCTATCTATCTATCTATCTATCTATCTATCTATCTATCTATCTATCTATCCATCTATCTATCCGCTTACGTCTGGCTGCTTTCGTTATCAGCCCGTTAACTTAGCGTGAACGAAAAGCAGTATGGGAGGGTAACATAGTATGACGAATATGACTCGCTGGTCACGACATGAATAAGGTCACAATCCTGTCAATTACGTCGTCAAACACTTACTTTCAGACAGTGGCACATACAAGCGCGCGGGTATGTGCACTTTTTGATTCAGCGGCCATGCCACTGGTATGCGGATACGTGCCACAGGTGCTTGACACTCCTATGCGGGTACGTGCCAGAGGTGATCTACCCAGGAATGACAACACCCACGGGCAAACTTCATGCGTTAACATTAAGAAAAACACGGATGGACGGATGAACGGATGAATGGACGGATTATATAGCGGACGAATGGATGGGTGGATGATTGAATGGACGGAAAGATGGACTGAGAGACGGAAGGACAGACGGCAACAGTGCTTGCCCTACGCAAAGAAATGATTCACATTTAGAAAATGCGTTGTCGGAAATGAAAGAACATCTTCATCGTCAAGGTGTAGAACCATACCAGATATAGGCTATGGCTCCTCAGGAGAAGTTATGAGGTGATGTTAATTGTATTTTCTGGATAGGTGTACGGAAATAATGACATATACTGCCACGCTGCCTGTATAGAGTTGTTGATGGCGGTATTCTACGGGATATAAGGTTCGCTGAGCTCGTGGTGCTTCTAGAAGACAAGAGGCCGTCTTGCGTATAGGGGAGTCACTTGTCTTGGCAGTGCGGTGTTTCGCGGTGATGAAGATGACTCATTCAAAAATAAAAGAATGCAAACGGAAAAACAGTTTCGGGGAAAGACATCGCGCGACACACCGGCAGAGGCGAGCCCCGCATTGGCCTTGTGCTTATTGCTTAGTGACTTGCGGAACAACAGTGCACAAAATAATAATCTTTATTTCCGCTGCGACCTCTTGATAACGCATTTTCCCACCCTTAAGATGCATGCAGTAGGACTCATAATTTATTCAGGCACAATGCCTCAAAATTCTACTTTTGTAGCTATATATACACCACACACGTCCACACATTTAGCACCTTTTGTGTCTTAATTTTTAATGAAAGTCTAAAATAGAAACATGAGTATACTTACGGTGACCAAGCAGCATAATTTCTCTATAGGACTTAGGGTAGTGTTTCTTGCGACAAACAATGTGTGCCCGTTGGTTGAGTGCAATTGTGAACTTCGCCCAAGCAACATATTGACCAGAGCGTCCTGCAGGTTATGAAAAGAATCGTTTGAAAAGCCATCAAGAATATGAAGAAGAGTGAAAAAATATATAAAAGGGATAAAAACTTCAAAAACACATCTTCGAGAACTCGCACGGCTTACTTTTTTTTAATGTGTAAGTAATGATTAATTTTGAATGACGAAATAACTGGTACGAAATATTCATCCTTCTAGTACACTGGTATGCGTCGTACGTGGAATCACGAAGTGTCCTCTTGAGTGTGTTTCTCTCTCTCTACACACACACACACACACACACACACACATAATATATATATATATATATATATATATATATATATATATATATATATATATATATATATATATATATATATATATATATATATATATATATCTGTTCAACTGACGCTTTATTCAAGCAACAGCAAGGTGCACGACCCGAAGACTGATGTTTGTTATTGACAGATAAGAAAGATGAAGTCCAATGAATGCTTACACTGCTTTCCCCCGCCGACGGAAGCGGCCAGCCTGGCCGCGAATTACGCTGTGGAACCTATACGTTAGGACTTCAGACGCGAAACATGCACGATCTCGGTCCCGCGGCAGCGTTGGTCAATGGGGGCATGAACAGGTGTGACACGGCAGTTCACCGGTGAGGTCTGTTCTACAACTTTAGGGGACAAGATAGCATGACTCAAGCTTCTCGCATAAGCCAGGCGTTCGTGCAGGAGTCCACAGAAGTACATCGTCACCACGGCGGTAGAAAACGACACGGTGTTGGGCATCGTAACGATGTTTGCTATCTTCTTGGCTAGCTTCGGTGTTTACGCGGGCAAGACGACGGCATTGAACAACACGGAACAGAAACTGGTCGCAAACGAATGGTGAAGACTTGACGGGGCCAGAAAAGATTGAAACGTCAAGTGGTGATGTCGGATCGCGTCCGTATACTAGGAAAGATGGAGAATAGCGTGTAGTTTCGTGAACTGAGGTATTATATGCATACGTTACAAAGGAAAGAATGTCATGCCAATTGCGATGGTCCGGTCGGATATACATTGACAGCATGTCCCACAGCGTGCGATGAAATCGTTCCGTTAAGCCGTTGGTTTGTGGTTGATTGCTAGATGTTGTTTTATGAACTCTTTTTGATGCTTGAAGAACTTCACAGAGCGGGTTTGAAAGAAATGCCTTGCCCCGGTCGCTCAAAAGAACACGAGGGTCTCCGTGACGTAAGTTAACAGCATTCAATAAGAAAGTTGCTACTGTGGAAGCAGTTCCTGAAGTGATCGAGGCCGTCTCGGTATACCGTGTCAAGTGATCAACAGCAGTGACGATCAATCTCTTGCCGTCTGATGTTGTTGGAAGGCCCCGAAGAGGTCTATTCCGACGACAGAAAACGGCTCTGCTGGGCAAGGAAGTGGTTGTAGGGTCCCGGCTGGAGCAGTAGCGGGCCGCGTGCGGTGATGGCAAAGTGCGCAAGAGGCGACATACTTAGCTACCGTCGTGGAAAGACCTGTCCAGAAGAATCGACTGCGAATGCGCTAAGAGGTTTTGTAGTAACCCAAGTGGCCTGACCTCGGGTCGTCGTGTGAAGCGCGCAGAACTTCAATGCGTAGTGCGCGTGGTACGACGGAAACCCATCGGTGGCCTTCAGGTTTGAAAATGTATCAATAGAGAACATCGTCCTCCAACTTGAATAGCCGAAGTTGTTTCCGGAGCCTGGCATTTCGGAAAGACGATGCACCGTTAAGCCGACCGATGACGTCAGTGCAATAAGAGTCGGCCAGCTGGTGAGTGGTAAGTACTGAAGGACGGGTGGATGAAGGTATGGAAGAAATCGATGTTATCGACGAGGTGTCCTCCACATAGCCAATTTGACAAGGGGATTTGACATGCGCCGAACACTGCGGCAAGGGGCATCGTGACAATGCGTCAGCATCTTGGTGTTGTCTTCCGGTCTTGTAGATGACGTCAAATTCATATGATTGTAACCGGAGAATCCAGCGGCCAAGTCGCCCCTACAAGTTTTCGATTGTCGACAACCAGCAAAGGGCATAGTGGTCTGTCACAACAGTAAAATGTCGACCATACGGACGAAATTCTTGAATGGACCAGACAACAGCCGAGCACTCTTGTTCGGTTATCGAGTATCTCTTTTCTGCAGAGGTCAGAGTGCGGCTTGCATACGCGACAACTTTCTCGCGAAAGGCATGGTCGCGCTGGAGGAGTACGGCGCTGATTCTCTGTCCCCTAGCGTCAGTGTGCACTAACGTAGGTGCCTTTTCATCGAAATAACAAAGCACTGGTGGGGATGTCAGTGCGCGCTTGAGTTCTTGAAATGAGGCTTCACATTGATCATTCCAACTGAAGGAACCGGTACTAGCAAGGAGCTTGTGGAGAGGAGCGGCAATGGTGGCAAGGTTGCGAATGAAGCGGCAAAAGTACGATGTGGTCCAAGGAAACTGCCTAGTTATTTAGAACGAAATGGGCGCAGAAAATTCAGTACTGCGGAAATTTTGTCTGGATTGGGCTGGATGCCATCTTTAGTAACAAGCTGTCGCATCTTTATTAACGAGATGTCGTGGTAGGAAGCCGCCTCTTGGCTTTCTACCACGACATCTTCGACGTCAAAAATCTCGACAATCGACCACTAGGCCAGTCTTCTTTTGTAATGTACTGCATAAAAACTGGTGGATCACTTCTCAATCCCCACCGACCATATCGATCATCGGCCGCAGAGCGGTAGGCCATTAAACAAAGAGTCGACAAGATGCCAGTCAAATGCATTATTGAACCCTGATCTAGCCCATGGGCGTCACCCAGTGGGCTTGTTAAAAAGAAAGATGACACATGGCTCTTCTGCCTGGATAACCACCATTTGTAGTGAATTACGAAAAAGAACATTTACCTTTTGCCCCGAATTGACGACGCTCTAGGTAGTTTACACGGTGAACGATACTTTTTTTAATAAACCTACGCTATGGCTATTGGTAGATTGCTAAGGATAGTCAAGATTAAGAAAAGACTTCGTTTTTATATAAGTAAAGTATTTTTTTTCGAACGACGTAACTTTGAATTGGTATAGGTCATCGGGACACCCGATGGCCTATACTAATAAAAGGTTGTTCCGTTCGACCTACGAAACGCCCTTGCCACGTTCGAGCATATTTATGGATTATCTGATACAAGGGCTCACATGGTCAACATGCCTCTGTTACCTATACAATATCAGTGTATATGCGCCTATATTTGAGACCCACCTTGAATGTTTGTCAGCTATTTTCGACGTTTTCCGCAAAGCTAACTTCCAGCTGAACTCGTCGAAGTGCCACTTCGACCACCGATAGATTACTCTTCAGCTACTTCGTCAATGCTTTAGTTGAGCAGCCGAACCCAGAGAAAATTCATGCAGTCACGAGTTTTCCTGCACTCTAGTCAGCTAAACACATCTGGAGTTTTGTGGAACCCTGTTTATAGCTCAAAAGGTCAGTGAAAGATTTCCCGACAATAGCTTGGCCTCTCCCTGGACTTTTGAAGAGAGACGTGCCTTTAACGCGGGTTTTTTTTTTCGCCTCGTCACACTTTGGATGACGCCAACTATACTGGCCCACTTTGACCCATCCACTCCGACAGAGGTCAAAACCGATGCTAGTGGTCACGAGATTGGAGCCGTCCTAGCCCAACGTTAAGAGGGACACGACCATGTTATCGCCTGCGCTAGCCACCTACTAACAGCTGCCGAAAACAACTATTCCATTACAGAGCATATATGCCATATTTCACCCACTCATATTTATATGGCACGCACTCATTTCTCGGTAATGACGAACCATGATGCCCTCCGTTGCCTTTCGTCACTAAATGATCCTACTGGTCGGCTTGGACACGGGGCTTTAGGACTGCAAGAATGTATTTACATAGTGACGTAGCACAAGCTGAGATGCCTACATTAGAAAGCATACTGTCTGTCTCGCTACCCGGTTGATGGATCAAGCACCAACCCTGACACCGACACTGACGATTGCGTGTCTTTTCTGTTTTCTTACTGGCAAACATCGGCGACGAACAATGCCGTGATGCATCCTTGCGTACTATCATCGAATGCCTGGAAATGTCTACCGACTCGTACCATCACTCCTTTGTGCTACAAGATGGTGCACGTTACCACCACAATTTTGACCCAGACGGAACAGCCCTGCTGCATGTTATTCCGAAACTCTTCCACTCGGACGCTGTTCACAAACTCTATGACCTTCCAACAGCCGGTCACCTTGAAAATAGCGCACTTACTATCGGATACGCCGACAGTTTTTTCGCCAGGGCTTGCGCGCTCTGTCGGAAGATACGTTGTGGCAAGTCAGAAATGTCAGCTCCTCAAAACACCATTGATGCTTCCCACCGGGTGCCTTTAGCCTTTCGAAATTTCGTTAGAACCGTTATTTCACGTTGGCTTAGACGACCAATTTTCCCTGCATTCATACGGCAACAAGTAGATAGCTATTGCCGCAGAATATATGCCGCACACTACGCCATCTCACGAGCTCTTCCAACAAGCTGCGCGTCGGATGTCGCCGACCGCCTCCTATATGACGTGATTTTGACACATCAAGCTTCACACCAGGTGCTTACGGACCATGGCTGCACATTTTTTCCCGATTTCATAGCCAACTTGCTGCAACCATCTGAAACGAGGCACAAGTTCACTAGGTCATAGCATCCGCAGAAAAACGGCCTCATGGGGCGTCTGAATCGAACACTAACAGACGTGCTTGCGAAGTACTTTTCTTTCTACCACTCTGACGGGACCTTGCTCTGACCTACGTGACATTTACCAACAATTCTTCGCACCATTACACTGGCGGTTACTCCACATATTTTCTGCTGTTTGGCCATGAACCTACATAGCCCGTCGATACAGTGCTTCTGTTTCCAGCAGAGTGACCAGCGAATGTACTCTTGGCGCTGTTACGTGGACTGCGCATGCAAAGGAAAACAACCTGTACTCACCTTTTGACCTCCCAAGGCAACCAACAGAGTCATCTATTAAACAACCACAGTGACGAGGCATGCCGAAGAAAGGAACAAGCTCATCACACTTATTCTTAGTTTCCCGCACTTTCACAAGAATGTACACACCATCCATCACTCTAAAATATACAAATCCTCACAAGAGCACTTGACCTGGGACGTACTACAGCCGAAACACCGAGGTGTCGAAGTAGTCACTCGGCACATTAATTATTTCATAAAAGGACAACATTACGTCCCTGCACAACCCTCAGAAGGCCCTTCCACCATAATTCCTTTCTGTACAACACCCCGTAGTACCAGTGTGTGGCACTGGCGGCTCACACTTTGTTGTTTTACGCCTATATTCTTCTTTTTTTCTTGACCTTTTTCTCCCTTATTGTTCCTTTTCAAGTTCCCCTATCTTCTCAATGCGATTACTGAGTCCCCTGAAAACTTTCTCTCATGGGTGAGGGCTACAGATTTTTTATTATTGGCGCCAGTATGTCCTGCGACATCAATTAAATAAAAAAGAAAATATTCTGTTCTGTTTTCTTCATTATGATTTTCCTTTCCAGACAGCAATTAACAACAGCGACACGTACCACGACTGGACATGACGTCAATATAAACCCCTTTAGAGCTAACGCACCAAGGATGACAAGGCACCTTTGAGAAAGATAGGTTCTCCCATCGGAAAGTCGGCCAGTCTGTCTGAGGCACTTTCTCCTGTTCGTTCTACTTATCCCACTACGTGTTTCCATCTGTCTGTACCCATCTTGGTTTTGAAGTATCGCGTATTGTACGTCGATGCGCGCTATCAAGAAAGAAAACCATACTTACGAAGTTGGCCATATGATTTGATGTTAAGTTCTACTGGCTTAGTATTCCAACACTCCACCAATACTTCTACGTTCGGTTCCACGTACACTAAGCCACCGGGAACAGTGTATGCTTCAGCCGAGAATTTCATGTAGAGACCATCCCAATAGCTCGATTCCCTGCCGTAGCAGTGAGGCACACTTGGAATCCACTGGCCATCGAAGCACCGGGAAGTGGGCACATCCCCTCCCATTATCGTCTCACCAACAGGTTCACAATGAAACATCAGCTCGGCTCCATGAGGGACGCTTTCTAGAGGTAGTATGCGAATATGCTTATGATGAGCTTTGAGCCGATTCTGCCTTTGCGGGAATGTGCAGCTTGCTCGCTGTACACTTGGATGAACTGCGAAAGCAAAAAAAAAATAAAGAGTCACACTGCACGCGTATATTAAAGTGATTAATCGACCACACGCCAATACATTATTGAAGAACAACACTACAAAATAAAACAGAAGATGTTTGATGGGGGAACGGCATGTATGGGCGCTCTTACTATGGAAATACAGCCTCTACGCAGTAAATTCTAGCGACGCAGCATTAGCAGGGGTAGAATCACTATGCGAGTAAAAGCACTGACTTTTCAAGCTCCAACGCGCACAGTGCGGTGTCTTCGAAATATCTTCAGATCGGTGCACCCTAATCAGTAAAAACATGCGTCCAATCCACCACCGACCACGAGAGTCCAGTGAATATTGCATTGCATGGCTGTGTAAAAGGTTGCGGGTTGGATCCCTATTACTATGGCTGCATGTATAGGGCGGATTAGAAAACCGCTTTTGTGGCTTCCAATAATAGACGTTGAAGAAATCTCTGTGCTGAAATTAGTCCCAAACAATCCACTACGAGGTTCCAGTCGATGAATTCTAAATGCAACCATTTATTCAGTTCAATGCTTCCACATCCTGCTAATATTGAGGGTGAATAATGCTTCAGACTGCAGCACTTCCACATATGAAGCGGTCATTTTCCTTATGCTGTCTTTGTTTACATTGCGACCAGCACTGTGAATATTTTTCGTGCTACTTGTTGCAGCGTATACTGCCGAATCGTGGCCCTTAACCTTCATTCTTGTATTTTTCATTGTGTAGTATGAAAAAATTCGGCAGATCTCACGCACCATGGGAATAAATGTCATGCGAAGCATTCACTCTAAGGCAAGAGGGTGTGTGGTTCTTCCTTTTTTGGACTAATGGCGCTGCCACAGCCATTAATTTCTTTAAGGACTAACGGAACCGGGTCTAACAGTTAGTCTTCACAGACTAGCTCAAGAGACTAAAATTTAGTCCTCACCGTTATACCTTAGCGGGTAACCGTTAGTCCCACAAATCTCCTGGTCAAAGGACTAACATTTAGTCCTCACATTTACACCTTATCGGGCAATCATTAGTCCCCACATTTTCACTTTACCGGGTAACTGTTAGTCTTCACAGTTGCACCGCAGAACACCTACCAGTTTTGAGAACGGAAACTGTACGTTTGGGCTGTTGTATCAAAATAACATGCAAATAGGTAGCGGCACTGTACTGAACTGCAATGCCGCGAAGCGAAATGGCGCTGGTAGTACTATCATCATCATTAAACAGACGTATTTTTTTTCTGCAGGTGGAGGGCTCGCTGCTGGTTCGCGCTGCTTGCTTCCTCTGGTATTTTGTTTTTTTCCTCGTTTCTAAACCGCGATTATCACCAGGTGACCTAACTGGCCTGGACTGGCAAAAACAACGTCAATCAAGTAAGCCTTGCACCGTTTATTGCGAGTGTCCAAGCTGGTACAACCAATGTATACGATCGGGTCCGAACAAAACAAGTCACTCGTTCATATCAAAAGCTTTCAACCCATGTGCAAAGACTGTTGAAAGATAACAACCATATGCATGTAACTGAACATCGATATCTCTGAATGAACGTCGCTCTCATTGTGTAGCAGCGTTCGAGTTTAATAGCGTGGCTTCAGAAGACGGGTCCCAATCTGCCGTCAGATGAAGTCCTTGCCAAGTAGTGTTGATCTTGAAGCGAAGTGAATGCATGATGTGGAATTGGGAAGGGAACTTGCAATTGGCGATAGATCGCTGGCGCAGCGAAAGCAATGTAGTTTAGATCAATTTGTTAAATAAACAATCGCGGATGCGTGCAGTTCTGAATCTTTCTCGCTCTGCAATGTTGCATTGAGTACTTTACAATTGTGCAATGTCGGGTCGTGTCGACAGGGCAGGCACTAGTTTTAATTCTCATCCGTGAGCCCATTTTATAGTTAATATGTATTTAGGTGATGGGCCTAAACTATTTCAGGCTTGTTACATTTATTGTTAGAGTTAAGTTACACAGTTACTACGGCTACAATTTCTCGTCGCAAGTAATTACCGGTCTGATGAGTATGCAGGTAACGTGTGTGCTGAAGTAACAGAGTTATGAGGTGTGTGCTTATAGATCGAAAAGGCGCAATTCTAAAAAAATAAGCTTTAGGCATGCATTGTACATTTTTGTTGTTTGTGCATCTTTGTTGGTGCTCTTACAGCACACTAAACAACTGCTCAGCTCTGAGCACAATCTCTTTTTTGCGTAGACATATCGATAGAGCTTGAGCACTCTCTTGGAAGCAAGCACTCTATCAATCAATTGGTGGCACATGATGTGAATCTGTCCAAATACTGGATCAATGAAGGCCACATTTATTACAAACTTGTTATTGTGTTTACTTTATCAGTATACTTGCGCTTGAAAGCTGAAGTTGCTTTGTCCCTGCTAATTTTAGAGGTTTGGACTTGAAATATGTACTATCCTGCGGTGTGGCTGTGAATAAGTCAAGATAATGGATGTTTCAACTACCTGCGGAATTTTCTAGATTTTTTTCATGACAGTAATGCACAGAATTTCACTTCACAGTGGTACGCAATAGCTATGACAACTTGATTTAAACAGAAGCAGATGGGCTCAAAGAAATCTGGGACGTTTCTCTGCGATACGAAAAAAAAAAACAGTACCACATCCAATGAACACAATCTTACTCCTCATGGCAGCATTCACGTGTTTCCGGAAGCTGTGCTGCAAGTGCTCATTACCTGTATGATTTATCATTTTAGAAGCCCATTGAACATATGTGCAAAGCTAATGCAATTTAGTGCAGCCCTATGAGCTTTGGCGCATATTTTTGTAAACCTATATGAGATAAACACAGTTAATTAAGACAAAACATTTCCGGGTGTAGTTTGTAAACTGTGTCACAAGGCACAACTAAATTTCGGAAAGCCTGTTGTTGCCCTTCAGTGCGCGGCTGTTCATTTTGTAATGAAATTACAATTTATGACGATTCACATGCCAACCTTGAAGTAATCATGAGTCGTAAAGTAGTGGTTTTAAAGGGTTTAAACAAGTGACATTGTAGCCTCGCAGGAAAAAAGACGGCTTGTCGAAACATTTTCTCTGACACCTCGCGTTCACAGATTTTTCATATGTACAAGCTTCCATTTTTAAGGATCACTTTGGTTCGCCTGCACCAATGGGTACTGGTTCGCAGCTGCGCCCGAGATGTTTAGAACTTGTGCAGCACGAGTTCAGCAGTGCGACATCACAAGTGAATGACAAGGCCGAATTCTTATTTCTGTTCGCTTAATTTAATGGGGTGCAAACATCTTGGCAAAACACGCCGCGTTTGCAGAGGCAGGTACGGCACCTACGTATAATGCTATGTCGTTTGTTTAGCTGTGCATGCGGCTTCACCAAACCAGCGCCGTCAGAGTAGGAGGTACAGGGAAATCAGGAAGTAGATTTAGTTTTGTACCTTTCTTTCGCGTTTTGAAACGAATGGCACGGTTTAGAGGACATCATTGCTGCACCACTGAAACGACTGGTGAGGTGCAGCACCTCGTAGAATGGATGATGTGGTGCAGGCGAATCGAACAAACCCTTAAGCACACGAGTGTCTTAGCATATCACCTCCATTGAAATATGGCCACTGTGGCTGGGATCAAACCTGTGTAGTTGAGCTCAACAGTGCCACAAAGTCTAAGTAGTAGTGTTTCAGTTTCAACGTCATTGAAGTGTAGATTTAATGCCACGGTAGACAGTCAATGCTTGTGACCAACCTAAGCACTTCTTCACGATATGCGTTGTAAAACACCCACAAATACAGCATTGCATGCGTGAGGTTCGAGGTGACCCGTTTTAGTGGACGTTCAGATGTTTCAACGTGCTTGCAGAGTGAACATTCTGGGCTAGTCATCCTGTCGTTGAATGGCAGTCTGGAAAAAACAAGTAACATCACCAGATATTGATAAGCAGAATAAATGCATAAACTTTTCCAAAGTAAACGAATAAACGCATTTAACTAGTAAACAGCAGTACTTTATACATATATGTAATGGTACCTCATAACACATGTATCATACGGGGCTTCTCCTTCCCAAGGCATGTCATGTAGCAGGTTCCTGGCCCGTTGTACACAGCTGCTTCCAAGTCAGGTAGGCCAGGAGGCTGTGGCAGAAAAAAAAGTATTTCTGATTTAGGTGACGCTTTCTATGTCACACTATAGCAAACCTACGCCCCCATGTGATGCTTCTTAAGTGCAACTGCGGTAAACTAGCAACTTGTAGGTGTTTTGCACTAATATATGGGCTAGCTACGAAGACACGTGCGAGGAGACAATGAGGTATTTGCCTTCTTTCATCGCAATGACCTGGTTTGTGTTACCTGGTGATACGATTTCGGAATTACCTAACTATTGAGTCAGCAACTCGTTCCCACGTGAAGCCACGCTGCTAGTCCCGCACATTTTTCCGCGGAGAGATCGACACATTAAAAAATTTTAAAAATTAATATTACAATTCAGTGCCATCGTACGACGCCTACGCATTGGCAAAAAAAAGCTACATATGTTGAAATGAATCAACTAGCCCAGCAAGCGACAGTCCTTGAAAAACAAAAACTGAAGTGGTTTCTACTTACCAGCCCGTAATTCTCGGGCTTGAAGCGGGTGTTCATCCGATGAAAGCTTCAACGGCCGCTTCGTTCTCCACAAGTCACTTGAATTCCCTCCACGAAAGCATTTCAACGAGTCCAAATAAACAGAACGAAATAGTGTGTCGACCGCAGTGGCTCGAAAGATTTACAGCGAAACGAAACAGTGCGAGACACATCCGAAAGTACCGCAAGCCGTTACGTGCCATCGCTACCATTGGCTGCCGCATATTTTGAAATGCGGATAATGAAGTCGATAGGCTGCTGCTGACTACGAGTAAGCTGGAGCAAAAATTATTGCAAAAGAATAACGACGCAGCACATGTTTAAAAAGAACTACTTGCTATAAGAACAAATTGTTTTTGTGTGTAGCGACATGCAAAGATGTAGTAT